CCCATCCCAAGTAACTCAACCTGAAACTGGTATCAATATATATCTTACAGTGATTGTCCTGTTCTTGATGTGAGGAGACATCTCGATGTAACCCACAAGTTCATTGAGAAACACTTTGATCCCCAGAAGCTTAGAGACAGTGCGGCAGTCTTCCCACTCCACTCCCATTAGAAAGGCAAGAGGTACAAAAACATATGAACAGATATTCTGGAATGAGTAATAATTATTATGAATAATTAATAATATATAATTATTAATTACTTACTCTGCATAATATGAAAGTTATTGTTCATAGGACCAGCAATTGAAAACCATATTAGGCATTATTTTAGTGGTTTGAATCTATAGATGATTCTCTCATACTGATTTGCGGAAACCCATCTTCAGTGTCCAAAAAAATATATATGGTATTATTATTATTAGTTTTTAACTACAGTTTTTCTTTATCTGTTTTTGTTCTAGATTGATTTGAAACTGTAAATGATGATCCTTCTTGACCTGTTGTTATTCTGGTTTGAATCTATGATTCTTTCATACTGATTTGCGGAAACCCATCTTCAGTGTCCAAAAAAAAATATATGGTATTATTATTAGTTATTTACTGCAGTTTTTCTTTATCTGTTTTTATTCTAGATTGATTTGAAACTGTAAATGGTGATCCTTCTTGACCTGTTGTTATTCTGGACAAAGTTTCCCTATAAAATGAGCCTGAAATTGGAAAAATACCTCGAAACTCAGCTCTGGATAACCATACAATCCACCAAGCCAGGAAAGAACGGCATTGAAAAATGCAATGTATGCAAAGAAGGTGATTAACATGGCACCAACATTTGCGACAAGAGCAATTGCAGTTGATGCACCTTTTGCAGCAGCCTCTATTACGTTCTTTTCGCCCCTAGAAAGAAATTGCCAATCAATACTGGACTCCTTTCAGTGCCAGATCCAGAAATATTCGAAAAGGGGGGCACACATATATACACATTCTGAGTCCGTCTAGGTATTGACAGAAGTACATAACCATATGGTTATTTACTTCTGGTATTGAGAGATGAAACACTTCCATTTGGGTCATTATTGCTTATGTTATTTCGTAAATGTCGTGAAAAAAAAGGCAATAATAGTCTTAATCTTAGTTCCTTGTGCCATTGGTAGCTGCAACGTGTAATAAGGGACTCACTTTCGATAATAGTCACCTAAACAGTTCCTTGAAAGGAATATATAGCTATAGAGGTATTCGCTATTATTCACTGGATGATATACATCACTTAAATAAAAGACTTTCAATGAGAGCTTAAGAACTTGGAATTGCAGAAAGCAGTACTTATAACTTCAGTACAAGAAGAACACTGACTAGGAGTGCCAATAAATGCTGCTGTTTTTTTCATACAAACCCTTCTTCTATATGTATTCCTTCTCCTGACTGCGTTTCTGGGATTTCYGTCTCAGGATACAGCAGCTTGGAGACCGCTAAGGCTGCTGGGGCAGACATTACTGATGCCGTCATCAAATGGGATGCCTGGACACCAAATGTTATGTAAATGGCCAGGACACCGCCTGCTACAGTGGCCAAGCCACTCGTCATGACCGCATGAAGCTCAGAGTTGGTGAGATGTGCAAGAAATGGCCTGATCATTAGAGGAGCTTCAGTCTAAAAAATGGTTAAATGAAAATTACCAAACAAAACAACACACAAAACGCATCAATAAGGAAAATGTACTARTCGTTCAATAACCRTAWAGGCCYGTTTGCACTTGCGATTTTTGAAGCACGATTGTCACGGCGACCGTCGCGCGACAATCTCCTGAGTTTCGAACATGCTTGAAATTTAGCTGCAACTCGCTGCGATTTTCGATCGCCGCGWCAATCGCAGGGCTGTTTACACGTACGATTCTACCTTGTCACCACAATAAGGGATCCCATGARATAGCATTGCGCCTGCATGTTATCCCTTAWTGTTCCGGTGACAAGGCAGAATTACAATCAAACTTCAACTTCCARGTAAGTTTCGTTTAATTTCCAATTTGAGGTGCGCGATGGCAAAGTGGCGACTATCGCGAGACAATTGCTCTGCAAAAATCGCAAGTGTAAACGGGGCATCACATACTTGTCCCACAAATATATTTCCTGCAGCTGTGAGAGACTCAACACCAGAGATCTTCATTGTTATTTGCATAAGCCAGGCTATCTTTGAGATCAATAGAGGCATGATTCCCAGATAATACAAAACTGAGATGACGGAACTGAAGAATATGATGACTGGGAGAATCTGAAAGACAATTTAATGACATTTATAAAATTTTTGATAATTGTATGAGGAAGTAGCTGATCCCATTAAAGAGTGCTCAATACACATAAAGTGTAGAGCTAGTTATATATATATGATATCAAAGAGGCAAGATTTTGCTATAACTCCGAGTTTCGTGCTACGCACTCATCAGCTTCCTAAGCTTGCTTCTCTCGTGTTTTTCGAACTCCCACCGTGTTTATATCAGAGGACAGAGACACGCGCGCCGTTTTATATTTCTTAAATAAAGCAGGTATCATAAAGGGTGAAAGCGATCCCTGTCCCATCTTGAAAGGGGAAGCTTAGGTCTTTGCAAGACCACCAACAGTTTGCAAAGAAGAAATTATGATTCTCGTAAGAAATGATGTAAAGATGTAAAGATGCAGTCATGGAAATGATTTTCCATTGTGTTTACCTTGATAATTATTATTCACGGTTATTGTAACAAGTAACACCTTAACAAACATTTAAGTGATCTTAATGTT